CCCCCCCCACACCTGTCTCTGGGTCCCCTGTGTCCCAGGCTATTGCCAAGGAAGACTTGAATTTCTGATCTTGCCTCCATCTCCCAAGTGCCAGGATTACAAGCAAGTGACCTCATGTATTCATGCCAAGTTTATGTCATACTGGGGCTAGGACTCAGGGTGTCACAGATTTTCTACCAGGTCTCTATTACCTGAGCTGCCTTTCTGGCCCACACCTAGCCAGCTTCTCCCATGAACCTCCATGGGAAAGCCCAAGCCCCTAAAGAGGCTGCTGTCATCATCCACTTCTTCTAACATGGTTCCTCAAAGGCCATTCTAATTTGGGTAACACTGCACTCTGGTTTGTAAAGTAATGTTTTCATCATTGGCTTTTTAAAATGTTCCCAGTCCTGGCTGCCTTTTAATTTGAAGAACTTTTTAAAGAAATGGTAATTTCAAGAGTCTGGAGTTTGGTCACCTGAAACCAATCTTTTCCTGTAGAGTCATGGGGATAAGAAAACTAACCAGGAGGTAAGAAACAAATGTTCTGTGGGACTGAGGAAGAGCAATTCCCGGTGGGGGAGGGGCGGGGAAGGCAGGGACCATGGTGAGGCTCAACCGTGAGGGAAATAGTGCACTATGTTCATATGTGTGTAGGCGCACTGTGTGTGTGAGTTCAACCTTGGGTGGGTTCCTCAGCACTATCCAGTGGTTTTTTGAGACTGAGACTCTCACTGAGTCTGGAACTCTCTGGCTAGGCTAGGCTGGCTGGGCGGAGAGCCTAGGGAGTTCTCCAATTCCTACTTCCCTAACACTGGGATCACAAGCATGGGCCACCACACTAGACTTTTTATGTGGGTTGTGGAGGTTGAACTCAGGTCCTTGTGTTTATGAGTCAAGCACTTTATTGACTGAGCCGTCTTCCCAGCCCAACTCTACCCTCTTGCAATCTTGTCTGACTCCAGGCTCCAGGGAATGACCTTGGGAGAAAATGACGAAGAAACTTTTTATTAGGTCACTGATTGATCCAGGTGGACATTCTTTTACTATGTGACCAAAAACATGCAGAGGGTAGCCAAGGACACAGGGAAACCTCATTAATGTGTCTTGGCAGGGAACATGCCCTCACTTGGAAAAGAACTGGACTGGAATTTGACCCTTCTCTTATCAATGTTGTGGGGGAAAGGATGAGTCAATAAATGAAGGGGAAAACAGGAATAGCCGATTTTAGACTACTTGAAAGAACAAGGTATTGAGAGCGTTAAGACTGATTTTCTGTTTGTTAATTTGTAAACGTGTATATACACGTGGGTATCCATGGCACATGTGTGGAGGTCAGAGGATAACTTGTGGGAGTCAGTTCCCTCTTCCACCCTCCGGGTTCTGTTGATTGGAGTCAGGTCACCAGGCTTGGCGGCCAGTACCTTTGCCCTCTGAGCCATCTCACCACTTTGAGCGTTTTGAGTGGCTGTTTATTCAACCAGGAGGATCACATTGGTGACGGGGTGTGCTTTTATGTCAGCTTTTCTCTAACTGGTTGTGTGAGCTGAGGTGAATTCCAACCTCTCTGCCTTAGCACTAGCGGAGATCCCTCCCTAAGCTCATTGGCAGACCTCCCCGTCTGGGTAGACCCACTGACTCCGCCTATCGGAATTCTAGCCTTGGCTGGAAAACAAACCAGGAGTTTGTTTCTGGTTCTAGAGCAGTGGTTCTCAACCCATGGGTCGCAAAAAATACAGTTATGGAGTGGCAACAGAAATAAGTTTATGGCTGGGGAACTGTATTAAAGGGTCACTGCATCAGGAAGATTGAGAACCCACAGCTCTAGATTATACACACTGGTATATTTTATGACGTCAGCAGCCCCAAGAGATTAGAAAGCCTTTCTTCCTCTTTGTGTTACACTGAGAAGCAAAGGGAAATAGATAGATTTTCCATGTTTTGAGCAGTGATGGTTGCTGCTCTCTAAGGTTTGCTGAGGTCTTTTCTTTTGTAGGAAAGAGAGAGGGCACAGTATGGAAGTCATGGCCTGCCTCCTTCTCTGCCTGTCTTTCTTTCTATCTATCTATCTATCTATCTATCTATCTATCTATCTATCTATCT